GTTGCAAAATTAGCATCTGTTAAAGTTGCTTCTCTTTATCGAGCTCGACACTTTCTTACTCTGGATTCTAATCTCTATCTTTATATAGATCTCAAATCCGGCCTTGTATGGAATACTGTTGCCATATCTGGGGCGGATCTTCTAATGATGCCCTTTCTCTTTTAGACAAGGTGAAAAAAAAAACATTGTAAACATAGTTGGACCTGCTCTTGCAGCCAACCTTCAACCTCTGTCACATCGTCGTAATGTTGCTTCTCTTTCTCTTTTCTACAAATACTAAAATGGGCACTGCTCTAAAGAGCTAGCGTCTCTTGTGCCATCTACTAAAATTTATTCTCGTGTTACTCGTCATTCAATTAAGTCTCATCCTTTTTCTGTTACTGTTCCTAAGTGCTCCAAAAACTCTTACTTATTAGTTCTTTGAAATTCACTTCCTTTATCTTGCTTTCCTGATTCATACAATTTGTAATCTTTTAAGTTGTCTGTCAATCGTTATCTTGCTCTACAATCTTCATCTTTTCTCTTCCAGTAACTTCCAACACTAATTAGTGGTTGCTTGCAGCCTTGTTGGAAGCGAAGATGTTTAAAAATATATATATATTTTACTGCATGTTTTTGGTTTTAGACATCAAATATCAAATAAAACCCAAAAATTATATATATTATATATATATATATATATATATATATATATATATATATATATATATATATATATATATATATATATATATATATATATATATATATAATAATTGAGCGATTTTGGGTAAGCAACTTTTAATCATTTTTTAACTTTTAAATTATTCTATAAGCGGTAAAATAGAAACTTTTTAAAAAACCACATTAACTTTTAAATGATGTTTATGTAAAAATATTTGTTACTAAAGTTTGAATGACAATTATGTTTGATATAAGCGGTATTTACTAATGAAAAAAACTCAAATAAAATTTAAAATTTATTTTTATTTCATTGTAATGATTGTTTTTTTCACTTAAAAAACGCTAATACTTTAAGCTTGAAGCAAAGATTAAAATAATATAATCAAATTCTGATAAAAAATATATGATTTAATTTAAAACTAATTTATTAAAAATTTATAGTTTTATTCTGCATCAAAAATTTGCACAAAATGTAATTGAAACATTTTGTTTTTATAACACAAGTTAAATCGCAACGATTATTTTTTAATAAACAATATATACAGCGATATAATTTTAACAAATGATGTTTGGAAAAATAAACTTTGCTTTCACAAAAAAATTGTTAAAAAAATAATAAACTTTTAATAAATAAAGTAAATAAATTAACATAGGTTTTTTTATTTGTTATTTTTTTTTTTTTAAATTAAAAAATCATTTGTAGTTGCAAAGCCGCAATTAGAAATTTAAGAAATAATCATTTAAAAATTCAAAAATTTAACTTATTTTGATTCATTTATGCAAATGTCGAGAAAGAATTTTGTTAATATCAAGCATTTTTTTAAATGTAATACTAAATTTAATTATTTAATATTAAAAAATAAATAAAAGAAAATAAACATTCTTTTATAGTAATAATAAAAAAGAAGTTATATAACATTTAACTCATTTTACGGTAATTAATATTATTGCAGTAATTAAAAAAAGCTAATATCTTTAAAAAACAAAAGGAAAAAAAAAAATTTATGACATCAAATTCACATTAGCCTATTGCACAATGCATTTTTTTATTTAAAATGTATGCAAAAAAAAATTGTACACTTGAAAAAAATCATAATTTTAAAGATTGCATCAAAAAAATGAGTTTTTCATGAAAGTTTTTAAATTTTTTTTTTAGATAACTTATCAAGTATTGCTTTAAGAATTTATTTAGGAATTGGTGAATTTATTGGTTTTCAAACCTATTGAATTTTACACAATTGATCTAATGATGCATAAAATTGACTGCAAAAAAATAATCGTACAGTTCACAAATAATGTCAAATTAATCAAATTCTATGGAAATTTATATCAAGTGGGGCATCCTTTGGCCTCAATGGTCTCAACTAGACGATTTGGCATTGGGTTGACTGAATTTCGGGTCTTTTCTGTTTTTATATTATCCCATGCGCTCATTATAGTTTTTTTAAATTCGTCTTTGCATCTAAATGCTTGGTCACCAATTTTTCTTTCTAAAATATATCACAAATTTTTATTGGATTCAAGCTTAAACTTTGAAACCATTTCAAAATGTTGATGTTACTTGTGTCAAAGTAAATCTTATTTCCTCAATTGTTAAGAAGCATAGTCTGATTGAAACCGTTGCTAATGTGGCTGGTGGAGGACAAAAACGCAAGACCACCAGTGTAATTGATCGAAATATCATCATTAATGTGAAGAAAAATAGATTTGTTACGACACCTTCTTAACTTTTAAACAAATAAAACATCAATTGGAAATTGCAAAGAAGTAGGAAAAAATGCTGGTATCATATTGGAAAAAAAAATTTTGGTCAGATGAGCCAAAATATAACCTCGTCTTATCAGATGAAGTTCAGAAAATGTGGCTAAAAAAAAGAGAGAAACTTAAAAATGTAATTATTTTCAAAAAAGTGTTAAGCATGGAGGAGGAAATGTGACGGTTTGGGGTAGCATGAGTTAGAAAAGAGTGGGGAAATTTAAATTTATTGATGACAAAATAAATTTTTTAATGTATTGTGAAATTCTCAAAGCCAATTTGCAACTATCTACTTAAAAATTTAGAATGGGAAACGATTTCAGACTTCAGCAGGATAACGATCCAAAATATACCGATAAGAAAACAAAGGTACACTTAGACACATATAATATCAATGTTTTGGAATAGACATCTCAAAGTCTGGACATGAAACCAATAGAAATTTGTGGTATATTTTGGACAGAAAAATTGGCGACCGAGCATTTAAATGCAAAGACGACTTGAAAAAAGCTATAATGAGCGCATGGGATAATATAACAACAAAAGAGACCCAAAATTTGGTCAACCCAATGCGAAATTGTCTAGATGAGACCATTAAGGCCAAAGGAGGCCCCAGTCGATATTAATTTCCATGGAATTTAATTAATTTGACATTATTTGTGGACTGTACGGTTATGGTATACAGTATTCTACTTGATTCAATAAAAAAGTACAGTTATTAAAATTTTTGTAAAAAGTAAGTCAAAAAAATTACTTAAATAATAACGATCGCTTTTATGTTAAAAGTTACCGAAACTCAACGAAGCGTGCTCAAGAACAGCTGCTGAAAAATAGAACGTTAATAGTTTTTCAAATAATTTTTAATAATAATTTTTAAGAATAATTTTTTCGCTGAAATATTACTTTTATACCTATAAGATTTTTATTCTAACATTTTATTTTATTTTACTAGAAATAAAATTCCTTGTTAATTTTAACAATCTATTCAAAACGTTTGTTTAAGTTTTTTATTAATAGAAGTGATTGTGCTTATCAACCGCTTTATGAAAATAAATAAAAATAAATAAATATTATATAAAATCGCTTGTAAAAATATTAGCTATTGCACAGTTTTTAATTGTACAATATTAAAATTTCCAGTTTCTTACTCGCTGACTTTTTAAAAAGAAAAAATAATTATTTGAAAAACTTAAAATTACATATTTGAGAAAAAAAAAATCAAATATTAGCATATTTTATAACCTTTTTTAAATTTTAGTTATAATGTTTTTTTATTCGTTTAGAAAAGACAAAACGTGTCAAACGTCGAGAAAATAAGCAAATGTTTTTACATTCTAAAAAGCGAAACATTCCAAAACATTTTTAAATAATAACATTTTTACATTAATGATTTAAAGTAGCTTTGCGGTAATTAAGTAAATTGGTGCAGTTAATGTCGAAAAATATGAAAAGCAAATAAAAAGAATTTAATGACGTCAAAAATCACGTCGTGCTTATGCGTCGCGCAGTTTTTATTCATCACAAGGCCTGTATATATATATATATCTTTCTTCTATAACAGCTTGATACAGTGGTTGATGATTATAATCCAAACATAGTTCTTCCTACTGTTATGTCAATAACATATATTGATATTATGTTCTTATATATTGATATTATATTATGTTCTTATATTGATAGTTGATAAAAAATCTTCTGTTTTAAATTTTTTTCTCTTATTATTGATGGATACCATATATCCAAAACATTGTAAAATTAGCACCTACTAAGTTGCCTCTTTATCATGTTAGCCATTTGATTACTATTGATTCCATTATCAGATTATCAGGGGGTATTCGAGACCATTTTTGAAAGCGTCTACTGTATTTGGCTGCCGCCCAAATTAAAATTTAAGGACCGGTTTTTTTTACGTTGTTTTATGTTTTTTTACAGCAAATATTGTTTTTTTCACACAAAAAATGCAGATTTTCCATTAAGTTGGCCAGAACGAGGGGGTATGGATGCCCAAATTTTTTTTCTAGAATAGGCCCTGCTTCTTCTATGCCTTTACTATCCTTATATGGAATACTATGTCATACTAAATTTGCTTAAAAAAACTCCACTTCCTTAAAATTTTTTAACGACCAAACTATTGTCTAAATCAGTCAGAATGATCAATGTAAACCCAGTCTAAGTGATAAAAATATGAGATTATTCATAGGTTAGTCTAGATTATTTATTACTGTATTAAAAAAACAGCTTACTGCTGATAACAAGTTATTGAGTTCATCTATTTTTAACTGTAATAGACTTTCCATTAAAAAAAAACTTCAGGAGACTAATAAATACATCATTTATGTTAATTATGGCTTCAACTAATTTTGTAATTTAAATCTATTTTAAGTTTAACTGCAGTAAAGTAATAGCCTAAATCATTGTTTATTTACTTATTATATGTATAAGTTTATTATACTATATTTATGATTTAATAATAACTATTACTTATTTAGTATTATATTGTTATATACATATATTTTATATTTATTTATTTGTTATATTTTATTACATTGTATCATAACTAGAATAATCCGTTTTATATATACCTGTTCATAGGTGACATTAACAACACCTCGTTGCTGAACATCATGTTTTCGAAAAGCATCAGTGAGTGTTTTTAGCATAACACAGCATTGAATAAAATCATCAAATTTCATTGTATTTGATCCAGTTCGATCAAAGGTACGAACACACAGCTGACAAAAGTATGGAGATCTAAACATAAGTGCAAATTTGAGGTTTTTCTATGGAAAACAAAACAAGGGATTTTATTAAAATATAATAGTATTATATGATCAAATTCTAAAAAACATAACAATTACAATGTGATAAAAAACATAACAATTACAATGTGATAAAAAACATAACAATTACAATGTGATAAAAAACATAACAATTACAATGTGATAAAAGAAGCTTTTTAACAACAATATTTTAGTAATGATTTTCTTAATGAAACATTAAGGATAAACTAAAAATATTGTTTAATAATGAAACAATTAATTAAAAATCTAGAAAACTTTCATAAATATAAACATAATTTAATAATAGAACAAGTAATTTAAAATCTAGAAAACTTTTAGAAATATTATTTAATATTATTTAATATTGGAACAGGTAATTTAAAATCTAGAATACGTTAAAAAATATTGTTTAATAATGAAACAAATAATTTAAAATCTAGAAAACTTTCATACATTTTTTTTCTAGAAAGAAGAAAAACCTATATTAAAAACATAAAACCATAATTTTGTAGATCATAAATTACATATTAAAAAGTATAACTGTTTTTGTAAAAAAAAAAAAAAAAAAGACTTTAAAAATTAAATTCAAAAAATAATTATTAGAGGCATTGAAATAATTAGAGGCATAATATAATACTAAACGGACTAAAAAAAACACTCCATGCCAAATGGACTAAAATATTTTTTAACAAGGAACATTTCAAATTTTAATGAAACTGGTTTATACTAATGAGAAAAGCTGAAAATACATAAAAGCTTTTGTAGTTGAGATAAAGCTATTTAAAATTTCTTATTTTTCCAAAGGATAAAAACTCAAGTAGCAAAACATGTTTTGTTCATACTTTGCTCAATATTTTTAAAACAAAACTTCAGAAAACCTTATTTTATTTATTTTTATACAACTCTAGACTTGCTTTCATAAAACACTTGAATTGAATTTCCTGTCACATTTTATCCATAATGGCTACCTAAAAACCCTATACAATCAATCACCAAAATGAAAGAGTTAATTTTTGATGGGTCATCATACAAAATTAGCAATTTAAGAAGTGAATTTAAGCAATTTAAGAAGATGCATTCTTTGAGTTTCTAATGAGTACTAATATGGCTTGCTTAATTTTTAAACATCTAGTGATAAGATTTACTTTAAAAATTTAACGATAAGTTTCGAATACAAAAAGAATTAAAACTAGTAAATAAAATAAACTTTTTAAAAGAAAAAAATTATATAACAAAATAAGAATAATAAGGAAAACATAATGGATAACCTACAATCGATATCCAAATGATGTGAAAGCTTGATTTAATTCATTTTGGTCAATTGTTCCTGAACGATCTCGATCAAAACTAAAAAATAAAAAAAATGAAAATTATAAAATTTTTTAAGATTAAATTTATATTTATATATACTTTGAAGTTAGTAAGTAATAAGCAGTTTCCTACTGTATAATGTAAATTTTATCTTTTGGGAATAAAATTTAATGTTTCCTAATTCCATAATAAAACTTTTAAAATTATTTGGAGCAAAATTTATATTTCATCCCTTTGATCAGATGTCTAGCACTTTAACTAATGTTTGGATCTGATGTCTAGAACTTTAAATACTAATAGATCCAATGCTCAGTACTTTAACTACTATTTTAAATGTTTTGAGCAATTTACACCAATTCAGTGCAATTAAGTTTGGCCTACGCACTTTAACCTAGAAAAATTTTAATAAAGGGTTTAATAAAATTTTAATGTAATTAAGAATAACACTGGTCAACAACAATTTTTCATCAGACTCGATTTTGGGTGGCCCAGATACAGTTTTTTGTGCAGATTTCAAATCTGTGCTCAGTTTTTTTTTAGCACGTCTAGTTTTTGAGATTACATGCCTTATGTTTTGAGATTAGTGGCAATTACTTATGATATTATTCCTCATTTCAGGTTTGATTTAATCTTTATAAAATAATTTATCAAGATGCCAAGAAAATGCAAGAATCAGCCTGACACTTTTTGTTATGTATGCGGCTTATTTACAGTGTCTGGTCAGCGGCGTAAAATTACAGCGAACTTGTCAAAAATCTACAAATTGTACTTTGGATGTCCGTTAGGTGATCAAGATAAAACATGGGCTCCACATATTATTTGCACAAGCTGTTCTAGTAGATTGCGTGAATGGCTTCACAAATGGAAAACTGCATTTTTATTTGCCATACCCATGGTATGGCAAATAAAAATGCAGTTTTTTTTTTTTTTTGAGGGAGCCAAAGGATCATGTAACTGATTGTTATTTTTGCATTGTTAATATAACTGGATTTTCATCGAAAAATAGGCACAAAATCGTTTATCCAGATTTGGATTCGGCAATGAGGCCAGTTCCACATGACCCCTCATTACCAGTTCCAATGCCTCCAATAGATGGATTAGATTCTGTCGAAGATGAGATGGAAGTGGACTCTTCTGATGAACATCAAGATACTGCCGATCTTGACTAATCACCTGATGTCGAAAAAATGCCAGAAGTATTCACTCAAGAAGAACTAAATGATTTGGTCCGAGACTTAACCTTATCAAAGGAAAAAGCAGAACTTTTGGGGTCACGACTTGAACAAAAAAATTTGCTTGCAACAAACGTTAAAGTGTGCCACTATCGAAAGCGTAATCTTCAATTAGCTACATTTTTTACTGTTGATGGCCCATTGTGCTATTGCAATGACATCAGTGGACTGTTTGAAAGTTTATCACAGCCGCATGAACCTTCTGAATGGCGTTTGTTCATCGATTCATCAAAGCCAAGCTTGAAAGCTGTGTTGTTGCAAAGGGAAATCAAAAGCCTTGCATACCAATTGCTCATTCTGTTCATCTGAGTGAGACGCATGAAAACATGAAAATTCTCCTTGAGGCAATCAACTACAAAACTCATCAATGGAATATCTGTGGTGATCTAAAAGTCATTGGCATAGTGTTGAAAATATTCCTTTGGTCGATCCACAAAAGATTTTTTTACCTCCTCTACATATCAAACTTGGCTTGATGAAGAACTTTGTAAAAGCAATGGGGAAATCCAATTCAGCTGGATTTCAATACTTGGTGGAAAAATTTCCAAAAATGAGTGCAACAAAGTTGAAAGAAGGAATTTTTGTCGGACCTCAAATTAGAGAGGTTTTACGAGATATTAATTTCAAAAATTCTCTCACAGATGAAGAAAAGGAAGCTTGGCAAGCCTTTACTTGGGTTTGTGCTAACTTTCTTGGTAACCACAAGTCACCTGAATATGAAGCAGGCATTCAAGAGCTGCTCGATTCATATCAAAAAATGGGATGTCGCATGTCTTTGAAGTTGCACTTTTTACATTCCCATCTGAAATTTTTTCCTGAAAATCTGGGTGCTGTGAGTGATGAACAAGGTGAACGATTTCATCAAGATATTCAACTGATGGAAAATTGCTATCAAGGGTTTTGGAATGAAAGCATGATGGGTGATTACTGCTGGATGCTTTATCGTGACAACCCAGACAAAGTCTTTAAAGGAAAGTCATATTCACGGCAATTTTGAGCAAATGTTGTAATAATTGTAGTGAATAAAACATTGTATATGTTGATACTGACTTAAATTGTTGACAATTGTATGGATCTAAGATAGTAATAGGGTAGGAGATGCAAATTCATACAACACAACTTAAGGCAAATGTCTTAATTTCCCTGAGATTTGTAAAATAAGAGGGGCCCTTATCTCAAAATGTGTACGTGATAGAGAAAAACTAAATAGATATTTGGAATCAGAGTGAAAAGTTTATCCAGAAAAAAATATTTTTATTCATGATGAGAACAAAAAGTTCCATTTTGTTGACCAGTGTAATTAATAATAAAAAGACAAAATTAACAAAAAACTAAAATGATAAGACTAAAACAATTTATTTTATTGATTTTATTTTAATTAAAAATAAAACAATTTATTTTATTGATTTTATTTTAATTAAAAACTAAAACTAAAAAACTAAAACTATAAACAATTCACTGAAGCAAAATTGCTGACTGAAGCAAAATTTCTGACTGAAGCAAAATATTTAAAAACTAATCATTTTTTTTAATTTCAAGTATAAAAAAGTTATGAAAAACTCAATTTCAACATTTTTTAATATTTTGTTCTTTATTAGGTCAACTGATGTTTTTTTAGTGTTGGCTTCATTGTTTTCTGAAAAAAAAATCTTTTTGGAAACAAATGATTGGTCAACAAACTTATTTTTGTGCTCCACTGTCAGGATATTCTGATAACATAAGTTTCTATAGATAAGTTTCTATAGGGCATATATAATGGTTATCATAATTGTCTATATCACATCTAAGCCAAAGAATATTATTATCAATTTTATTTACAATACTTGATTGATGTTGTTGTAATCATTTCTCAGTTGGTACAAGTTAATATTATCTGCAAATAGCTTAAGGTGGTTACTGGTGGTCCACCTCAATTCAAATGACTTTCTTTAATAAATAATTTTCACTTTTCAAAGTAGTCTACTTATAATGTCAACTTAGGTACCCTAGCAGTTTTATCCATTTTAGTGGTATATTTCTAAAATTATAGGCACTACCATAATAGTTTCTAGTTTTACAGGGTCTTGTTGGGTGATGACAAAAATCAAAACTTATAATCAAGCAAAAATATTTATTCTGTCCTCTTAGAATGTATTTTGAACAAACTGGGAAAATTTCGAAGAAAAAGAATAAACCTATCTGGAGATATCCTTTTTTTGCTTTATCAGATTTGCTATAAATCTAATATGGAGATAATCGCAAAACAATAATAAAATTACAAATAAAATGTTCTACATTCATAAATAAGAACTGGTTTAACTTCTGCTTATTTATCCAAGAATTATTTTTATCTCTTAGCTTCTGGCTTTACTTTACTTTTGTTGATAGATATATACTTTGCTTTTGATATATGCAACAATTTAACTTAGTAGGTTTATTCATAAACTGTCTATTATTGACGCCTCAAGCTTTTAAAACATTAATTACTCCTTGAAAACCATTATTGAATGATTAATAGTAAAATTCAATGATAATTTTAGAAACCTTTTACCAATATATATATATATATATATATATATGTATATATATATATATATATATATATATATATATATATATATATATATATATATATATATATATATATATATATCCTTACAACATCTTTTCTAAATGACACCATTCAAGCTTTCATCACAGTTCTGCATTTTACTGCAAAGACACTTTTTTAGTAAATCTTGATAAGATAAATTTCTGAAAATTGGTTTTAAATTTTGTGAATGGCTAATTAAAGGCCTAATTTTGTTTTGTATTTAAATAAGTTTGTTAGTTTATCAGCCTGCCACAAACAGCATAAGACGTTGGACAAAACTTGGTGGCATATTCAACCAATCGAAAACAAAAATACTAATTATGGCACCACCTAACATTCAAAAAGATATTATTATTAAAGGTAATTTTGTTAACAAGGAATGTATTAGATTTGTTGATTCCACAAAAAGTTTGGGTTTGATACTTGATAATGAACTGTCTTTGAAAACACAGATAAGATTGTGAAAAGTTGTTACAATATAATCAGCAAAATATCCAAAATAAAACAATTCTTATCGCATAAAGATTTGTGCACCATAGTATGTTCATAAATTTTTTCACAACTAGATTATTGCAACCCCCTCTACTTTGAAATTGAGAGGTCACTATTAAAAAAACTGCAGTCTGTTCAAAATTGTGCAGTAAGACTAGTATTTAAAACCAGAATAGAAAATCAAATAAATGACCAGGTATATATCAATTTGCATTGGCTTAAAATTAGAGAAAGAATTTATTTTAAGGTTTTATTAATAATGCACAAGCCTATTATCCAGAAAGCGCCAGCATCATTGTGTAATTTGATTCACTTCTCAACATCAGAGAGAATTCTGAAATTAAAAAAAACAAAATACAGCAATCGTTTTGGTGATCGGGCGGTATCCCACTATGGTCCTAGACTTTGAAATATTCTTCCAAGTATCATTCGAGATGAACAAAACACATCTATTTATAAGAAAAAACTAAATCATATTTAATGGTAAATAGTGAACTATTCCATCAGAAAACTCTGAAATATTAAAAATTATTAAGTAATATAATAATTTATTGCACAGCTGAGCAAGTGTTTTGCCAGCTTACCCTTTATTTGGGCAAAACACAGTAGCTGTGGGTAAACCCATGTATTTATTTAAATGATGCAAAAGTACACAAAAATATATGAAATTTTTCAAATTTTCTAAAAGCCACAATAGCATTTAACTCTACAGCAGCAACAGGTTTTCCAGGAGAAGTTAAAATTGGCTTAAGGAAAGAGTTGTATCAAAGTTTGTAAAGAACTTATACATATCAAATGATAACTGTAACTCATATGTGAACCCATTTGTAGTTTGTAAATTGTCATCTAGTAATAAATTTACACCATTTAATGAACAACATTCACTACATTTACAATCATTAAACATTGTCTTTAAAACTTTAAAGTTTATAATTACATTGTAATGATCCTCTGTAATTTATCCTTCAAGTTTTTTTTCTAAATTATGAAACTCAGTACTATCTAGCAATTTTTTTGACTTGCACTTCCTTTTTAGTTAAAAACAGAGGTTTGATTAAAATTGTATAAACTTTAATTGGTAACATGTTGGTTTCCTCTAAATACTTTTTTTTAAACATATTTGGTAAATCTTCAAATTTTTTCACAACTTTTTTACTTTTATATTAATTTATCATTGAATAACTTGTAAATATAACTTGATAAGTTTACACTGCTGTTGTTAGTTTACACTTGCATTCTACATTGTTATACATATCAATTTTTCGCGGCAAGGAATTTAAAATATAGCAAAAATTTACCAAAAATCCATATGACTTAACAGGGTTTATTTTTTATACCATGACTAAATGTATATTGGTTTTTGAGGTGATAATTATTAAATTATTTCGAAAAAAAAAAAGGTTGCTATGAGTGTTACTAGGTAAACAAAGTCTACCCTAATTGTTCCTAAGATGAATTAGACCAATTTATGTACATATTCAACAAATGTAAGTAATCTAATTATGTTCTACAATGATTGAAATAAAAGAAAATCACTTTTTATAAAATCTCAAAAAAAAAAATTTTAATACGTTTTGAATTGGGGTTGACCACCTTAATGTAAGGAATTATATCATGAATAAAAATTATGAACAATTTTCTGCCACTGATACAAAAGGAAAGTCACTGAAATGTGAATTCATAAAAAACTTAAAACTAATAAACTTTAAAACTCTTCTGGGTTCATTGTAATTACATGTAATAGTCATATTCTATTTGAAATGTAAAACCTATTTGTATATGCCAGACTTGCTTCCTACACTTTAAAAGTAGACTTGCTTTATTTTGCTAATTATTATTTTTTAAGGTTTAATTAAAAAGTGGTTGATATTTATTTTGAAAATACCGTTTATTTAAAAGTCACCATTTAATTCTGCATTAAAATTACTAATTAAAAGCAATTTAACAGTTATACTTAAATTAATTTAGTGTAGCGACAGAATAATTAAATCAAAGATTATTTAATTAAATTGTTAATTGATATTTTTGGGAAAATTTTATATTGTTAATTTTTTGAATTGTTAATTAATATTTCCTTCAATAACACTTGCTTGACAAACGTATAGTACTGTTTTTGCCATGAAAATATAAATTCTTTTGTTTTCAAAGGATGACTTTTTAACAAAAGAGCAATTTAGTTACTTTAAAACTAAGTAATACAATTATGCAATGCAAAATTATTATATTCAACAAGCCCTGTACACATCTTTTTTTCACCTCACAGGAATCACAGGAATGGTTATTCAATCCAAAACAAATCACAATTTGTTTTGGATTGATAAAGATCTATTTGTTAGTTGTTTTTAAACTAATAACTACATTTATGATAATAAACATGAGCTTCATTATACATTTATACATTAATGAGGGTTTATTGCAAAACATAAATTCTCATTTATACATTAATGAGGGTTTATTGCAAAACATAAATAAAATTTCAAATTGAAAATATTAACAAATGTGATGCTTAGTCAGCAGTGTTTTTATATAATAAGTAGTATACTCCATATTTGAGCTAAATAATTAAATTTACTTTTATTTAATATAATATCTTTGCCACAATATTGGAACAAGATTTGCAAAAAATCATCAACCTCACAAAATGTAAGGATGGCAGTTAGGTTGGCACTGTTAAATGCCAACCTTAATTCTGAGACTTGTAATTAAAATCATGGATCAATCCTATTTTTATAAACAATCCTGAAGTAGAACAGAATTTATAACACTATTAAGATCATTAAATTAAAAGAAATTAAAAGAAATTAAAAGAAATTAAAAGAAACTAAAAGAATTAAAATCAATAGAAATTTAAGAATAGAAATTTTTATAAAAAACTAAAAAGATTTGTATTATTAATTTTAATTGATTAAAAAATAAACTTTATAAAACTAAAAAAATACAGAAAATATATTTTGATGACAAAAATTTGTACTACTAAATATAACCTATCAAAACATTGTTTCCATTCCTGAATGTATTTCCACAATGCAGCAAATTCATAAACATTAATTGTACCAGACCTAAAAAATTCACATTATTACTTCTCAAAACAAGAACTAATCTAAATTTTTTAATAATTAATTTTTTAATAATTAAACTGTTCTACCTATCTTTGTCAAACATTCCAATCATTAATCTACATGTTTCTCCATTAAAATGTGACCAATTGTTATTAAGCAAAGCCTGCTGCAACTCATCAGAAGTTATTGCTCCAGAGTTATCTCTATCAACTGCCTAAAAGAAACTAATAATAAACACTACACTAATGAATGGTATCATGTATATATAGACTATCATAACATACATATCATACATATAAGTCATCATAATATGATATTAATTTATCAGTGAAAAAAACAGATTTTTTGCCAACAAGATTTTAAATTGCTGGAATTTAAATTATTCATCAATATACTGTTTTCTATCTATTTAATTAAGCATGTCTTGTTTCTGCTTTTCATAAGCATGTCTTGGTTCTTTAATTTAATATTTACTGATTTCATAATAACTCAAGTAGACACAACAGATCTACTCAACTTTTTTTGACAATTAAATCCTTATTATTGAGTATAATAAAAAAAAAAATTATGATTAAGAAGTGATAGAAACATAGATCTGAAAATTTAAGTAAATTTAAAATCTTAAAACTTTATTTACCCATATAGAAATTGAAAAAAATTAATTAGGTATTAAGAGGTAGATTATCTATATTTATATTCTATCGGAAACAAAGAAGATTTTTTTCCCTCGATAATAAATTTATACTCAGAAAGAAAAAACTTGATAACTTTGAAAATATTTCTGTGATACACCATACAAAATGAGGTCATAATTTTGCCTTTAGCACCATTAGTAAACAACCAATAAAAAGAAAAGATCAAAAACTGTATTAATTATCAGTAAAAAATCTTTGCCCTATACATAACAAAAAATATAAAACAGTTTTGTTTGATTACATTAAAACCATAGATAACTAATTTTCTTTCAATTACAGTAACAAAAATACTTACCAAAAACCATCCCCAAAGAGTTGAGTCGATTCCATCAGGTGGAGCTCTTTGACTTTGTATTGGACCTGCTAGTCCAGGCTGAAATTGCATTTGTTGTGAGTATTGCTGGTTATATGGCTGTTGATACACTCCTCCAGATTGAAATTGATAACTCATAGGTTGTTGTTGCTGATATATCCCAGTAACTTGCTGGTTACCACAAGGAGGTGTCTGTTGATAACTACTAGCAGATGATTGTCTATAATTAGGTGGTGGCTGCTGATTATTACCGAGAGGTGGTTGCTGATAATTAAAAGATGTTGGTTGTTGGTAATTACCAGTTGATGGCTGCTGGCCAGGTGGTGCCTGCTGGTAGTTACCTTGTGGTTGGTAACTACCAGTGGGCCAGGTACTTGATACTTGTTTTTGACCAGCAGGTAAAGATTGCATGTAACCTAGAGACTGCTGATATCCAGAATTAAAAGTCTAAATTAAAACCCACATTAAATTGTTTACAGTTTTATCATAGTAGAAACTTTTTGAAAAGATAATGTACACAAAGATCGTTATATTTCAAGTAATCAACAGCAATAACAAATAAGTGTTGCAATCTATCATATTCTCTCAAATTTACAAAATGTAATGATAATTATATCTTATACTGTAAGATATAGGATTAGTTGAATGCGCATGCAACGTTTACGTCATTTATGCTAATATATAAAATATCCAAAAACTTTCAGATAAAGTAAGCATGACATTTTTAAATATGACAAAATATGAAAGATTTTAACGCCTAATAGAAAATGAGGAGATCTTTTTCAGAAACATTAAAAGCCTAAATATATAGACAGCCTCACTTGTTGGTTCCACGCCATTGTTAAAACAAAATTTGTTTACTACCAAGTAAGCGCAATGTTGTTGCGTTATTCTTATGTAATTTTAAAGTGCTTGTTTTTATCCAAAAAAAAGTCCGTAGCTAAATTTTAACTACCGATTTTATAGGCGGATTCAAAACAATTCTGTTGCACTTTGTATATTTCATTAGAAAAATTCAATACAGTATTTTAAAGTTTAACATGTTCTAAAATATAAATTACCTGCAAAAAATTAGGAATTAATAAAAATCTAATGATTAAACGGATTCGGTAAAGAAACTTTTTTTAAAATTAGGCTCATCTTAACATAGATTTTTATATATTAGTCAGTTTTATCCAAATTCCTATTAGTCAGTTTTATCTGTATTCCTAACTTGGTATCAACAAGTGGTTTGCAATTTTATATTATAGTCTTATTATTTTATTGTCTCTAACCACTGAGCGTAGTTAAGAGGCTAAAGGAATCGCTAAACCATTATCTTTTCAATTTTTTTAATTTATAAAAGATTTAAAATGAAAGAAAATAATTTATCACTTTTTTTTTCCCACTGAATTACTAAATGCGTCAGAGTATTATTCTTAGAGAAAGGGGCATTTAATATTTCTCTCCCTCCTATTTAAAACATACACTGTAATTAATTTATGACTTGGGTTTAGCAAATGATTAAAATTTTTAATTCCATTAATCAAACTAAATAAAGATTATCATCTATATTAAACACAAGAACGTAAGCCAGAGCCACCTAATAAAAAAGTTGTATGTCACACCTAGTACTAAAAATCCATCATTTAATTTTCAGAGACTCTGAAAATTAAATCTTTGATTAATGACATGGATAAGAGCTTTAAAATGTTTAAACTTGCTTTAAAATAGCCCTTCGCCCCAAAAAGTCTTAATCCGCCATTGGTCACACTTTATGGAATTTAGTCACTTCATACCAAATTATCCATGACAAGTCAATCTGAATTTTCAATTCTGTAAACTTTTATATATAATATTATTTTAACTTTTTTTTCAATTAAATCTAACATGCAACAAATAATACTTATTAGGTATAAAAAACTATTCCATTTAATCTTTTATCTAGAAAAGACGTTTATTTAGCATTTCTCAATACTTTTTATAAATAACTTAACTAAAATTACTACATTTTGTCGTCTAAAAGACTGTATACACTAAATCCTTGTAAATGTAAACCTTGTAAATCCTGATTTAGTCAAAAATTAGTTATTAAATAATTTTTACAGTTTTCAACTAACATGTAAAATTTTATCATTGATAGTAGTTTCTCTATTAATTCTACTAGAGGTCACTCCATATGGAAGATGCTACTAGAGGTCACTTCATATTGATGATGCAAGATGAGGTCACGTAAAACGTTGATTTCAACAAATATAATGCAAAATGGTTGGCAAAACCATTGAACAAAGTTGTTATACTCAAAAAACATATTTATTATGTACATTTATAAATAAAATTTATACACATGTATAACCGTTGGTGGGCTTGCCCACACATTATTCCCAATAAGACGGAAACAAATAAAAGAAGCCATTCAATGTACGAAGCTTTTATTTTTTTTTTAATTAATAACAGGTATTTTTGTTGTTGTTGTTGTTGTTGGGATGGGGTGAGATGAAGTCGAGTGCGGTGAGGGGTCACAGCACTGTATATAAAATATAAACTATACAAAACTATAAACTTTCATAACAAATCCCATAGTTTTTTTTAGTTTTTGTTGGGCAAATCATCTCGTCTCATTTCCTGGCTATTAATGTCTACAGCTGAACGCCTTCTACTAAACAACCACGAATTGACGTACTATAAAAGATCAAAACTTGTTAGCAGTAATCATACTAATTTAATGAAGAAAGACGTTGAAACTGTTTCGGTCAATATTGAAGCCCTGATTGGTGTGTTGATCAGATTCATATGTGAAAATCTTCATTCGCATTCACTTAAGGAAATAGGGATAATATGAAGAGCATGTACTAAATGAACTAAATTTTTAGGATATATTTTTTCTACTAGTTATTCACTGAATCATTTGAATCATTTCTCTTTTATTTAATTCTAGTTTTATTGACAGATTTCTTCTTCAGTTCTCCAAATTTCACCAGAGTGTTAATTTTGTCTGGCCATTGTTTTTGATCTAAGATGCGAGTCAATTGAGCTAATTCAACTTCTTTGTCACCAAGCAATATTTTCTTAATTGACTCTTTTAGTTTTATGTAAAAGGCGTTCGGATCAATAGCCGAATCATTTTAAGAATTTTCTTTATGGAGTAAAACTTCATGAAAACAGAGACTATATGCAGATACTGAAGCAAATATGTAACAAAGATAACCATTTTTTTTATTTTTTCCGAATACTTGTACAAGTGCTTTAATTTTTTGATTTATTTTGTACAGATTAATGTTGCGGTCTTGGAGGTTCAAACAAAATTCCGACAATACTTGGAAAACATCAAACATCAATCCAAGATCTATTAAAAACTCAATAAATGTAATATTCCTAAATAAGCCTTCATAAGTGGATTTTTCATTTTTGTACCTTGTAGGATCAACCATCGTTTTCTCAAAATGATTCATTAGCGCTTCATAATTTTCCCATACCGCCAAAAATGAATAAAAAGTAGATGACACCCATCGTGTATTTAAAGTTCGATCAAATTTTAACAGCTTAATATTACGTTATTAAACGCGTGAATGCAACTCTCTGCTATTTTGGGGGAAGCATAATACACAACGTAAAGTTTATCAAAAAATAATTTAATACTTGAAATCTCCCTAATAGTATCCCCTGATGATAATTCTAGTCTACAATTAGCATCATGTTAAACTACAGCAGAGGAAACCTTTTCAGTAATTAATTTAAAAACGCCACTTTTGAGAAACTAAATAACTCTTCAAATATTATTCTATCATCCTATAAGAATAAAGACATTAATGTCTTTATTCTTATAGGATGATTACTATATAGTAAAGCATCAAGTTATACTTTAGCCGTAACGCTTTTAAGTTATATTAAATCCAAAAATAAATTGATTGGTTAATTTATTACACTGTCTTTTACACAGCACCGAATGTACACTCCATTGTTGATTTTTAGCTTGAAGTATTTGACTCATCAACTATTAACAAAGTCTTACTCTTTGATTTTACGACTTGTGCAATAATAATTTTTTTTACTCATTTTGTTCCCTATATGATTGACAATGTTAATGCATACGTTTGTATTTCAAATTATTTTCTCATTTCAACTCTGTTATATTGTTTAAGATTAATTTTTCCATTTCAAAGTTATTAAAGGACTGATTTCCTTTTGCAACTTTGTATGCAGTTTGAAAAATGTTTGCTGTTACAGTTTTGCTATAAAGGCTTCAAAATATTATTTGATTTTTTTTTTAATTTTTGGTTTCCCAAGGTGTCCTTACGGTCTTATCACAGATCACCGCGGAAGAGCATTTGAAAGGAAGTTCAACCCTCTTTTTTTACCGATATTATAAAACTTGCCGAGAGATGGCATTGAACCACAGATCTCTAGCTTTTAGGCAAGCACGCTAACCACTACACAACGGCTGCTCAAAGGTTTCAGAGTTATGACTCGAACCACGGAGGTTTGCATCAGAAACTCTGCAAGCTAACCACTCGGCCACTCAGGCATAAAAATAATACAACAATAATAAAATCCATTTCTTATCAAGTGCTTTTGCTTTTCTTGTTGCATAGATTAAATTTTTCTTTTGCTTATCTCGTTGCAAAGATATTATTCTCTTTGCAAAGATTAAAATTTCTTCTACCATCTTTAGTGCAGCTTGATGTCTAGCAGATACTTTGTGATCATATATTTTATTACGTAGCTGACTTTGTTGGTATTACATATCACTTTTTAAGTAAGAACTTTGAATTTAAAACATCGTTAATATGAAATTCAATAAAGATATAATAAAAAAATACTGTTGCAAATAATTTTGTGTTCTAAAAATAGTTCTTTTATAAGTAGCGTACGCATTAAGAGATTGATATTTGGAAAAAATATTGCACAAAATAGGATTTCTTAAAAATATAAGTTTGATCCCCTTCCACCCTTTCGTCATGACATCGTAACACTTTGGTAACAAGTTCCGTATTTCGTCACAAAATCACTGCCTCCCCTCCTTTCTTCCAAACCACCCCTCACCCCCATCCTCGCATAATCTATGGATGACCCCTTGCGGGATTAATATTCAAACAAACAAATAATTTAGCGTCATAATAACAAACGCTATTAAGAAAATAAGTTGAAGTGAATTCCTCTCAAGCAATTTTAATTTTTACTAACAGCTAAGAAACAATAGATTCTAAAACGCATCGCTGTAACATTTTTGAATCTGCAAAAAATGTTTTACTTAATCTTTACGACCCTTTTATTTTCAATTTTAAGAAATTTAAATACAAATATTTTTGAATTAAAATTTGTTATAATTTAAAAAAGTTCTTTATATAAAAATACGGGGGAAAAATGTTATATATATTATGCCGGATATATATATATATATATATATTATATATATATATATATATATATATATATATATATATATATATATACACATATATATATATATATATAGAGAGAGAGAGAGTGAGAGAGAGAGAGAGAGAGAGAGTGAGAGGAGAGAGAGAGAGATTTATACATGTATTTATAAATCTACATCTACTCATCTTTTGAAGTGAATCTACTCATCTTCTGAAGTGAACGGACGTGTTTTTGTAGCGTGGATTTAGCTTTGAATAAATAAAATAATATTAATAAAATTTTTTTAAGATTTTAATAAATATAATGAATTTAAAAAGTATTGAAAAAAATTGTAGCTGATATACTTGAGAAACAAAGCAATACAAACATGGAAGAAACAAGAAAACATTTAAAAAAATAAGGAAAAAGCTTTGCGTCATTAACAGCAGCAAATTTAAAAATGCTCACCGAAAGACTCGTGAAGTACGAGAAAGAAAATATAAATAATCTAATAAAAATTAAAACACTTGAAAACAATATAGATCAAACAAATAAAAAATTCATCTTTCTGGAAACTGATTTATTGGA